TGAAAGATCCAGACCAGTCACAGACTAGAGAGAGGGCAGAGGTTTCCACATCTCCATTTTTCCTTCCTACAGTCCCTCAGCTCACATCTGGTTACATCTCTATGTTCATTCAGTATAAACCCCAAGGAAGGCTCTCAGACTATCAAAGGAAAAGCCTCAGTCAGGGAGTCCTATGACCTCGATGGGCCCCAAAACCAGAGTTTTAATGACTTTACTGCTAAATTCTGCTGACTGAGCCCCACAGTCCATCATACCTCAAAAGAGATTCCTAGGTGCACATGGCCATGCTTTCAGTGGTGGCTATGAGGGGGTTACTTAAGGTATTTTAGTCCCTCACATTTTCATGTGAACAATTGATATTGTCACAATATTAACTAAAGAGCTGAAGAAATGTTTCCTCCAACATCAGTAAGAGTGCCACCGGAAGGCCCTTTCTATACAGAATTTGGAAAGTGTAGTTGCATATGTGTAGAACCGAAGGAACTGTTTGCACATACCTGCCTTGTCCATCCCTCCTTCCCTCTAATACTTTGTCTCCCCTTAGTCTCCCTCCCACATATAGCCCAGGACCCAGGGTGTTCCAGCTGCTGATCCTCCTCAATTCTGGTGCACCTTGGTCCTGGTGATGGTGTGATGGCGTGGTGGGGAGGGTAGGTCAAGGCAAGCCTGGACAGAAGGACCTGCTGACTGGGCCAGCTCAGCCAGCCCTTCTGTCTGGGCTTACCCAGGAAGGGATTCACCTCTGGAGGATGATCAGAGATGGGAAAAAAGTTGCCCCTGTAGATAACAAAGAGAAAAGATCAGGTGTGATACTGCCCAAGGTAATGGAGACAGGAGCAGGGTAACTTAGGGATCCCGCTAAATTTTAGGAACGTTACTAAAATTGTAATTCATAATACTTCAGTGAGAATTCAGCTGAAGTTTCTTAAGACATAATGTAAACTATTTTTCATTGTTTCATAAGAAATCATTGGGATTTGGGTTCTATGAAAATGTGAATCTGAGGAAGGGAAGAAGGAAGACTTGGGTTAATGTTTTGACTGGGGTATGGGAATAGGAATTGGGGGAAATAAGTTTGGGAAAACTACGGGATTAGGGTTCTGGTCCATACATGAAACTGGCAGTGGGTAAAATAGGGAAAACAGTCTTTGGAATCTGACTTTACCTATGTCACTATTTTTCTGAGGTAGGACTTGCATGAAGCAAAGTAACTTACCAGGGAATGGTAGGGGTGAATATTTCAGCTATGCAGGAAGTTCTTGTTGAGTTCTTGGCCTGTGTTGAGAAATATTCCTTAGTATCAAAGATAAATAGCTCTTTTTGAATTAATGTTTTACTGATTTTACATTTTTAAGGATTTGATATTTGGCAATCTTTTGAATCCATTGATAGGAATTTTTAAGTAAAGGACAGCAATAAGGTAGAAACGTGGGCACCTAAGAAGAGAGCACTCTTGGACTGGCAGGTGGCATGGTGGTTAAGGGTGCTGGACTCCTACATGGCTGACTGCGGTTCAAGTCCCAGACCTGGCAGCTTGCTTTCTCACTTTCTCTCTCTCTCTCCCCCTCCCTTTCTCTCTGTCCTTCTCTTTGTCAAATTAAAATAAGTAAATAAATAAAGTTAAATAAAATAATTTTTTTAAAAAAGAAGAGAGCACTCTGTTGTAAAGAACAAATGAAGGAGAATTTGTATCTAATATGGCTGCAATAGTTGCCTGATCAGTATTAATTAAAGAAACTTTTATTATTAGATGAGATGAGAAGAAAACAATAAAGGACATTGTTTTCATTCCCAAGAATCTTCTGATTAAATGTAAAATCTTCATGCAAAAAAGAGCCTTTTTCCAGCAGACATTTACAGAATGTTCCATCCAACAGCTGAAGACTTCACATTCTTCTCATTAGCACATGTATCATTCTCCAGATGGACCACATGTTAGGCTACAAAGCAAACCTCAAAAATTTTCGAAAAAAAGGAAAGAAAAAGAAAAATCAGAGCGAGCAGGTGGCATGGCAAAAGTGGCTGGATCCAATATGGTCGACTATATGGTTCAAATCCTGGACCCGTTGCTTGACAAATGCATCAGGCATATGTCTGCGTGTGTGTGCCCAAGATTCTGAGAGGAGAATGGAAGAGAAGGGATTGCAGCATGGCCATCCCTCCTAGAAGGGTGATTTCTCTTTCTCTCCCTCTCTTTCTCTCTCCCTCACAGTGAGCAAACATATCCTACAGCAAACAAACAAAAAGAAAAGAAAAGAAATCATATTGAGTACTTTTGCTGAGCAGAGTGGAATAAAACTAGAAATCATTAATAAATGGAACAGTGAGAAACATACAAATTCATGAAAACTAAGTCTTATGCTCCTAAACGACTACTAGGTTAAAGAAAAAATCAAGATGGAAATTTAAAAATTTATAGAAACAAATGGAAATGAAAATACAACATATTAAAACCTATGGCAAGACCAGCAGATGGTGTAATGGTTACATTGCTAGACTCCCACGTAGTCAACCATAGTTTGAGTCCTGCACCTGGCAGCTTAAATCTCACACCAGGCGCATGTACGTATGTGCCCAGAGTCTTGAGAGGAGAATGGAGGAGAAGAGATTGCAGGATGGCCACCACCCTGGGGGGTGATTTCTTGCTTTCTGTCTCTGTCTCTCTCTGTCTCTCCAGTGAGCGCATGCACCCTACAGCAAAAATCTATCTTAAAAAAAATTAAAAAAGCAAAAAACCAAACCAGAACAAAAAACCATATTGGATACAGAAAAGCAGTTCATTTTTAAAAAAATTTTTATTTAAATTTATTTACTTTATTTGTTTATTTCAATTTGACCAGAGAAGAACAGAATGAGAGAGAGAGCGAGAGCAAGAGAGAGAGAAACTGTGAATGCAAGCTGCCAGGTCCAGATTTGAACTACAGTTGGCCATGTGGGAGTCCAGTGCCCTTAACCACCACGCAACCTGCCAGCCCTCAAAAGCAGTTCTAAGAGAGATGTTCATAGTAATAAGTGTCTTCATAAAGAAGAAAGAAAAGAAAGTAAAGAAGAAAAATATGAATAACAATTTAGTGATGCACCTTAAGGAACCACAAAAATAAGAACTAATTCCAAAATTAACAGAAGGAAAGAAATAATAAAGATCAGAGAAGAAATAAACTTGAGACTAACAAATCAAAACAAAAACAAACATAAAAAATCAATAAAATAAAAAAAAAATTAAAAAAGAAAATTGACACAAACATAAAAAATCAATAAAATAAAAAAAATTAAAAAAAGAGAAAATTGAAAAACCACTATCCAGACTGAGAAAAAGAGAAAGTCCATAAAAATTATAAATGAAAAGAATGCATTACAACTGATATAACAGAAATTTGAAAGATAATTATAGACTATTATGAACAACCATACATCAACAAGTTGAAAAATTTAGATGAAATTAATAAATTCTTGGACACATACAACCTGCCAAGACTGAACCAGGAAGAAATAGGAAACCCTAGTAGGCCAATAACAGCAAACGTGACTAAATTAGTAATAAAGATTCTCAACAGACGCCAGCAGCTGCTGTGGTGGTTATAGTGTTGTACTCCTACATGACTGACCGTGGTTTGAGTCCAGACCTGGTGGCTTGAAGCTCATGCCAGGCACGTGTGTGTGTGTGTGTGTGTGTGTCTGTGTGCCCAAAAGGAGGAGCAGGGTTTGCAGCATGGCCGTTCTCTTGGGGGGTGATTTCTCACTTTCCCTCTCACTGTCTCTGTTTCTTTCCTTCCCAGTGAGCACATGCACCCTATGGCATAATCCTTTAAAAAAAAACAAAAAAAGTCTCCCAATGAAATAAAGCCCTGAGTCAGAGGGTTTTACTATTGAACTCTACTTAAATAAGAGCTAGTATCAATGTTCCTCAAACTGAAGTGCAAGGGGCCTTCCCAATGAGGCTAGCATTATCCCAATACCAAAACCAGACAAAGACATAACAAAAAAAGAAGGCTATAGACCAATATCCCTAATGAACATAGATGCAAAAATTCTAAACAAAATACTAGCAAATTGACTCCAACAGCACATCAAAAAGATCAAGTGGATTTTATCCCAATGATGAAAGGATGCTTCAACATTTGCAAATCTGTATGTTACACCAGATCAACAAAGTGAAGGGTGAAAACAGGTGCAGAAAAAGCATTCGACAAAATACATCGCTTTATGATAATAATGCTTAACAAATTAGGTATAGAAAGAACGTGTCTCCATACATACAGTTCATATATGACAAATCCACAGCTAACATCATACTGAATGGAGAAAGCGGAAAGCCTCCCCTCTAAGAACTGAAACAAGATAAGGATGTCTATTTTTACTACTCTTATTCAACATAGTACTGGAAGTCCTAGCTAGGGCAATAAGGCAGAAGGAAGAAATAAAGTGCACCCAAATTGGAAAGGAGGAAGTTAAATTGACCCTGTTTTCAGGCAATATTACGTTATATATAGACAACCCTATTATTTCCACAAAAATCTCTTTGAACTGATAAATTCAGTAAAGTTGCAGTATACAAGACTAACATACAAAAATTGGTAGCTTTTTTATACACTAATAATAAAATAGTCAAGAAAGAAATTTAAAAAGCTGAGCCAGAAGGTGTCATGGAGGTTAAGGTGGCTGGGTCATACATGGCCAACTGCATGGTTTG